AGACTTTCCTTTTTATGAAAACAACCAAATTCTTTTCATCCCGTTCAAAAAAGAAAGCTTTAGCTGCTATTTTTGGGCCCAAGACGGAATCCGACGTTTTACCTGAGTAGCTACACAACGATTTCCTTGACAAACACTGCGATAGCACCGATCCTCATCTAAAATTGTGTAAATGGTCCCTTAATTGGCAAGACACTTTATAACCCTTACTTCTAGTGTAGCCTCCACAGTTTCCGTTGACAGCTATTTTCGCAGCGCATCTTGGAGCGCCATGAGATAAATCGCAGAAGAGAAATCTGAATCAAAATACTGAGAAAAATACTAAAAAAAGTAAAAATTGGCAAAACCTCACCTTGATCCACATCCAGCGGGATTTCCAGCAGAACAAGTTGGTCTCGCTTGGAAAGTGTAGAGATTATCTGAAACAGAGATTTGGGTCTCTCAAAAATCTTTACATACCTATCCTTTATAAAATTTTTCGTTCACATTATATGTGGTGGAAAATTTCTGTTAAGTAAATCTTTTGCTTGTAAATTCAAGGAGGTTCTGTTAAATACAAACTGACTTCGTAGTAACTGTTCTTCCCTTCTGCATAATCGAATCGCAAATGCACAAAAAGCCAACAAACCTACGACAGCTTGGACAGAACAGAATTTCGCCCATTTCTTTAGAATTTTTGCTTGATCTTCCTACGCGCTTTCCCTCTTATATTACTTTCTTAGGATGTTGTGTCTCTTTTATGACGGTTTGATGCTGGAACTTTCTTCAGAACAAGACACATGTTAGTTTCTTTAGTTTGTTCAATGTAGAGTATAGGCCTTGCACATACTGTATCTTGGTAACAAAGAATTTGGTTCCACTACAAAAGGTCGGCACCAATCTGCAATTATTGAATCTTCTTCCTACCTGTGTATGAATTCAGCAGTCCATCACGGTTTGTCATTGGGAAGAAAGGTTGCATGATATTATTTCCATAATGAGCTTCACTGCTACACTGTGGATTATTTGGTGGGTACTGGCTTTCTCGAGCAGCTCTAGTCTGAACCAAAATTCTAGCAAATGAGGTAGGAAAAGGCTGCAAAATGTCATGTTCTCAAAAAGTTAATATTATTGAAATTAGAATAGGTACCATCGAATATTTGCTTTTTTGGCTGCTCAGTGCGGTAAAGTTTCTAATAATTTTCAGCAATTGAGTTCCGTTCAGGGTCGCCGCGTGCCTGCGCCGTGTCAGCGCTATCGATCGATCAACATCGGGGTGCCCGTATAGCCGCTGGCATGGCGCTAGCACGCGGCTACTCTAAACGCTGCCTACACTGAAGATGGCCCAAAAGCTGAGAA